CGGCGACGGAAGATGAAGAAGATGAAGACATGCAATCGTTGGGGGCTTTCAATGCTAAGTTGCATAATCTTTCAGCTTTTAATGTAACGCTTACTACATGACTCGATGATGAGATGTGGCTGCTTTCGCACTGTGGTTCAGTTCAATTTAAACAACGTTTTCTAGCCCGAGGACAAATAACATTATGTATAAATTTATCATTGTCTCTTTGGACGACAAGGTCGTACAACATCCCTGATTCACCGGCCTGGATTTGTTATCTGACTCCTTACATTAAATCAGATTCGTTTGAGACGTTTCGTCATCCACATTCTAACATTGCCACGTCATTCACTTGTTTTAGAATTTATGGCAGGATTCACGACTATTACTTCTTTGGCGACTGCTATGAATATATTCCATTGTATCTTGATAAGGGATACCATACTGTGACCATTGTCCAGTATCCACGGCTTGAAAATCTGGTTGAATTTACTTCGAGCCTGAATTTCAATCTCTGAGTTAAAGCTGATCAAACTGATCCCTGAATTTAACACAAGAGTTATCAATTGTTATTTACTAGTAGTTCGCTGACCATTTTTCAGGTCTGCTTTGCTTCCGTGATCAAGAAGCACTGTTCTGATGATTTTCAATTTTCTTCATTTTTCCTTCTCGGTACTGAGGCACCGTTGGTCCCTTGTTAAAAGTAACTGCATGCTGATTTAAACTAGCATCTATAAATGTCGGAGACAGATGAGCTTACAGAGAGCTCATTCAAGGAGTCAATATCAAATGTACTTTGGCCGATGGAGGAAAGTTAAGGCTTCAGGTGCAAAAATCAAATAACCGACGACAAGATGGAACCTTCGCACCAGCGAGGTAAAAATTTTGCGAAACTGCCGCCGTCCCTGTCGATGCTTGAAAATGCGCTAATGACAAAAGCATCAGACGAAGCTCCTGCAATTGAACCTGCCACAAAGCAAACGGAAGTTAATCTATAATCCATCGTTGAGGTGGTCACGCCTGAAAAGCTTCCTCACGTCATCGGCATTGTGGTTAACGGTGAGCGATCAATGCAAGTTTACGACAAGAGAACAATATCTACTTTCTGTTCGGTCACTTGTGTTCGCGCGTCACTCAAAAGCCAGCTGTGATAGCTCTCGAGTGAGCTTTTTCCTATCGTTGGGGACATCGAGTTCTCGTGGAGTCTAAGTCTAGTCGGCGACCTGCACAAAAACCACAAATCCGACACCACGACCGGTTTGTCAAGAGTACCGGCGATCAAAGAGCGTTTGCCCGTACGGCTGGTGGCGTCGACGCAAAAAAACGCCATCTCAGCCATGAAGGCGCTGAGATCACAGACATGCAGGCACTGATCGAAAGTGAAACGTAAATCGGCGGATATAATCTGACAGCAGCAATCTAGCCACAGCGCAGGTGTAACACAGGCCATAAAAAAGTAATTCTCGTGGCCTCAGTTGGCAAACGAAGAAGACTCGATGAGAATCTGATCGGGCAGGAAAATTGCTCAGTGAAAACAAGATTCTGAGTTGATTTTCCGCTCAGACAGGTGATGAGAGAAAATGACAACTCCCTCATAACAAAATGAAAGCTGCATAAGGACAGCGGCCAGCCACCGTTAAACAACAGAATTGTTGCACGAAAAATCGTCTAACCAAAATAACTGTCAACAAGCAATCACACATAAACATTAGCATTTATTCATTTTATGATATAAAGCGTTTCTTCCCTTTTCAGGGAAATAACGTACGCAAAATGCGACGACAAAGCAGTCTAAAATGGTCAAATGAATCCCTCGACTGCCAAAAGGCAGTATTGAACTTCTCCCAGATTCAAAAACACTGAAATCCAATCTACCGCCGATATTCGACTAGTAACATCAGCAATATATTGGGTACACAAATTAATCATTGAACCTGTAAAATATAGGGATAAAGGATAGCTTAGTGTCTCTCCAGTTCAAAACGATCTAGTTTGTTAAGTGCATATATGTGCACGTGCTGTATGAAACTATGTATTTCAACAATTATGCATGTGCTATTCTTTATTTAGAATCACCATTCGAATTACGGTCCTCAAAGTCTGACATATCATCCGAGTTTGGAAGGTCAGGCGACATCCAATGTACAAGAATGCCTGGCAGGGCGAGGTATGGTGGAGTGCATTCTCCCTAGCTGCTTCGGCTGACGTGAAGGCCTGCCATGAACTCCTAAATAGATGACTCACGAGACTCTGGTGAAGTGGTTTCGAGCCAATCATTCATTTTGCTGACTTATCTCTGGTTACAGAAATCGTACAGAATTTATCATTTGCACAGGATTTTATTGGTAACAGAGCCGGAAGTTTAATTGGTTATGAGTATGGATTTCAAAGAACTTCAGAATGGAAAAAATATCGTTCAATGACAAATGTGAAAGCAGTTTGGCACACGGAATGCGAACGTTGAACTGGCTGCAGAGAACTGAACTGAATGGGAATAAAGACAGCTGCAATACAAGAGATGCATTGGCTTGGAACAAGCGCTGTGACGCTGAAAACTATAGCTTCTATTGCAGGAGAATCAGTTTGGTGAAGACCAAGTACTTGGTGCAAAGGACTTGGAGTCACGATAGTTCGTTGTTATATCCCAACTTAAGTTGTGGGGGAGACAGTAAAGGAAGAACTTTATGCCATGATGAGTCGCTTTCAGTGCCAATGAAGAACCCAGGACATCTTGACTGTTCCGGATGATTTCAATGCAAAATTACAGCGTTGAAACAAAGGGTCAGCTGCATAGATGCATGGGATCGCGCGTTATTGGTGAGACGAATGACAAGGATGAAGGAGTAGCAAGACTGTATCAGATGCGGCACATCGTCTCCACACAAATCAGTGCATAGAATTACATAGCACTGCCCATTGCATCAAGGGAAAACCAGATTGACTATATTTTCGTCATAGGAGTCATCGAACATGCCTAGAAAATGTCGATGTCTACTGAAGTGCAGAATGCAGCAGCGACCATGAACTGGTGATAACTAAAGTTAAATTGAAGCTCCGGTCCTTGATTGGCTGCCAAAAATCAATCGCAAAATTTGAAGTCGACAAGTTGACATATTCAGAAGTATTCCAAACATACCAGGTCACGATTGGTGGAAGAGTGAAACTTTTCATCGATTATACAGGCGATACATCAGTGGAAAATGCTACGAACATATACAGAGATGCCGTAGTAGCAACAGCAGAAGAGTAATTGAAACGGATGAAAAGGCAAAAAAGCAGTGAATAAATTTGGAAACAAAATGGTTGCAAGTAAGGAGCTGGCTTGCCGAGACTGATGACTGTCAATGTTTCAGAAGTGAAGTAAAGAACAAATTAGAAAACCATTATGAAATTATAGGGCACTTTTCTGGATGCGCGGCTCAGAAAACAATATGAGGCCTTGTTTAACAAAATCTATAGCTACTTCGATAAAAAGAAGCCTCGACTAATATCCGTGAGGACGATAACATCATGTCTGACCCTACAGAAGTCATTGAGAATTGGAGAAAATACTGTGACTCGCTACTAAACACTGATGTGAGTGAAACCAGACTCATTGGATGATATTATATTTGGACTAAAGATGGACGCAAATACCGGACCATCGATCTTTGAAGAAGTGACTTGTGGCACCCTAAACCAACTGAAACATGGCAGGGCTTTAGGCATTAATGAAATGTAACCATAGCTAATTACCGAGTCTGGAATGAACGGAGTGTTGGCATTAATGAATTTCTTTGGATTGGTATGACAAAATGACAAGTTGCCGAACGACTGAACAAAAGGTATTGTGATCTCAATATTAAAAAAAAGCTGCTGTTTAAAATTAAAATACTACCGTGGAATCGGCCTAGAGACTGTTCCTGCGAAGGTACTTATGCATGTTATGGTGAATAAAATTAAAATACATCTTGAGAAGATCGTAGGAGAAATGCAGTCTGGATTCAGGACAGACAGAGAATATTTGTACAGATATTCAAAATGAAACAGGTAATGGAAGAAGGAGAGAATGTGGATCGAAATTCTTCGCAATTATCATAGATTTCATTAAGGCGTTTGACTCAATCTGGGGAAACGCCTCGTGAAAATTTGGTGAACAGTTTTGAATCCCCCAGTTTTGATAAGGTCATTCCCGTAATGAAAACAATGCACGGTCTTTCGCAGAATGCAAGGCAAATTGAGAGCAGGTTTTGCCAATTCTTTCTTACAAAGTTCGTTGTGACAACTCCACTGCTGCCTGCGATGTTTCTTTAATGTGTGCAACAACCAATGCGAAAAAGCAGAGCTCCGAATGCAGCAAGAGTGGACAGTATCTGCAGAACCATTTTTCATTTACAGATGATATCTTCGAAGCCGTAGCATCATTGTTCCTAACTCCGAGATGTTCTGACCTGAGTCTCTACGTATTTAAAAAAGACGAAGTGCGTAGAAATTGGTAGAGCCAGTACCGGAGCTTGTCTGACCCTTGACACCGAAGTGGTAGAAAATGTTTAACGCCTATATCCTTGGAGTACATTGCCTACAGGCACACCAAGGGCAAACTAAGATAGGAGACGTTGCACTTGGACATTAGCACGAGCAACAAGTCGTTCAAGCTCTGGAAAGGCAAAGATATCGGCAATATCACCAAGCTGCGGAAATTCAAGGTTTGCATTATGAACGTCTTGCTTTATGGCTTGGAAACGGCAGACAAGAATGGAAAACTGAAAGCGACGGCAATGAAGATTATAAGCTTAATATTAGGGGCGAAGTGACAAATGCTGGCGATGTAGTGTCAAATGCTGTTGTAACAGAGAAATTAGAATATCCAACTAAAGTGTTTGACTAGCTACAAACACGGTGTTTAGATTGACGGGATCGTTGCCAACGAATTGTCGATAGTCGCCTTGCGAAACGAGTACTGAACGCAAAGCCTGATGGCAGACGGCCGCCAGGAAGAGCTGAAACAAGGTGGGAAAATCCAGTTAGAAGTTACATGATACCGAAAGAATTGAAGAGTTAGCAAGCGTTTATTCGATCCAAGTGGAATGCTTGTACGGCACCCGGGATCATCTTCGATTTAATTGGATAGACAAAAGA